GATCTTTGGAGTAGGAATCAGAGAAGGTATTGATTGAGTGGCTCGGAAGACATCAATTGTTAGCTTTGTTTTAACCTTATCCATGTCTTGTGTGACAAACCGAATTTTTTTTGCTTTATAAGTCCAATAGTCAACTCAACTGAGTGTCAGACTCCTTGCTAATGAGTTTCAGCCTTGTTAAAGGTCATTCTAAGGAGTTTTAGCCTAGTACACTTAAGGGATAAGTGTTAGAAATTACCTGCTAGATCCACTGAACAACATACAAGCCTTAACCATCACCACCATGAGTTCACGACCACAAAACATAGAGTTTACGACCGTAAACTCTAAGTGGGCCGTAAACTCACCTCTATATATAAAAGTCTTGGCCATTTCTTCCATTCTTTCCTTCCTTGGCCGATTTTCTTCCATTCTCTTTGAAGTATCATCCAACATTTCATCTTAGATCTTCAAAAGTGTAAGTGTTCTTCCTTTAGTTTGTTGTTACACTTCATTTCCTAGTTACACACTTTGATTTCATCCATGAAATCAAGTTTTCTTAGATTTCCAAGAAACACTAAGAACACATACTAGTGTTCTTGGCCGAAATCAACCCTTTCAAGCTTCAATATCGTAAGTATCCCTTCATTATACTTCATATCTACTAAGAATCCTTGAAATACACCATCTAAACATGCTTTCCCCATGAAGATCATGAGTTTACGACCCAAGATCTCCCTTGACCGTAAACTCCATGTTGATGCATGTTTGGACCTTAAACTCTTCCAATAAGCAAGCCATAGGCCTTGAACCATTAATGAATGTTGTAGGACCTTAACCCAAACATCTTGGCAACTTTGACCATCATTTTATGGCCATAAACTCCCTTGGATGTAAACCCATGGCCATAAACACTAGATTAGTGCCATACACCTTCCTTTGATGAATCACATGTGATTCAACAGTTCATGTCATTGGCGCTTAGTCCTTTAGGTTGTTTTCCTTCATGATTACTTGTATTATACACTAATTATATACATATATGTGCCATTATATGTCATTTAGGACTTGTTAAGTCTCGAGACTTCATTCATGGAGCTTCTCATCCTTACACGCATATTCGCTTGAATCACCCACATCAGGTGAGTTCATACCCCGTAATCAATCTTTTAAAGTGTTTTAAATACTTTTAAAGGGGGAAATACAAGTTGAACACAATTGATAATTGTATAATTGTTTGTTAAAACATCTTTCAAAGGTTGTTTATGTCTTTAATAAGTGATCAAAATATTTCAAAAACTCTTTAAAGTTATGTTACTTTTTAGTTTAACAAAACTCCATTTTTAAAGTACAAGCATAAATTAGTAGTAAAATGAGTCTTTTCAATAACAGTTCAAGAAAAACATTAGTAAACTATAATGGGTATAGTTTAGAGGTTCAGTTCATACTAGGTACAATACACGATAACATAAGAGAACACACAATAAAGAGAAACAGGGAGAAAGATACAATACACAATAGCATAAGAGAACACACAATAAAGAGAAACATGGAGGAAGATACAATACGCAATAACAGAAAGAACATACTAAGATACTATAACAGAACGAACATACTAAGTTACTATAGCATGGAACTACTACAGGATCTAACTATACCAATAATCACTAACGCATTGTTTTAAACAAAAGGTGATAACTTATTGGGTATACATGATCATATAACTTTAATGTGGATTACATGGCCTAGCAACTGGTTTGCTAATGTCGCGTTTGGTTCCCAGAATCTTTTGGCAGGGAGAGTGTATAGTATGGGAACTAGCCTTCGCATTATGACCTTAATAAAACAAACATGTTTTAAGGTAATTAGTACGTTAGGATGTAAATTCATAAGACATTGAGTACTTATATTTTCCCATTACTTTCATAAAGTGACCAGTTCCATTTGAAAGTTAATGAAAACTATTTTCGAGACAAGATAGTTATAAACTAAGGAAAAACTTACATCTTTTCAAATGACAAACAGAACAGTCGGGTCTAGTACATTCAGTAGAAAGGGACCATAATACTAACCTTATTATTCCTTAATGTATACATCAAGAGATATATATTAATAACATCTAATAAGTAATAGGATGTGTGCTTTCTACCTCATTTCCTGTTCCTTGTTTGGTTGTGGGCTTAGAGCGGATTCACCCAGCCTATTATCCATTCGATATTAGTTATAAATACGTTCTGTATACATTAAGTCATCATACGAGGTACCAGGTATGGGTCAGGTCATAATATACTAATTCAATGCACAGTTTTCTAGTACGAAACATACTTTTCAAATCATAACTTTTGGTATACAAAACTAGAAACTTGTCAGTAAAGGGTTTAATCCATTTTATTAAACCATCATTTTTAAAGGACCTTAGGTAGTTAACTCTACAATACCTTAGTTTATACATCAAAGGTTATATATGATTAATATCCAATATGTAATTGGATGTGTGCCTTCCGCCTCATTCCATGATCCTTGTTTGGTTGTGGGCTTAGGGCAGATTCACACAATTAACTATCTGTTTAATATTAAATTATATATAGCTAGTATAAACTAAGTGATTATAGAAGGAACCAATGTGGTTACTATTTTATACTAAGAAATAAGGGTTTTCTTAAATAATCTTTTCATAAATTATAAAGGAACTAGTACAGTTAACTCTGTGAGTACCAAGGGAATACACCATGGTTATATACAACAAGGATCTAACAGCCAATGGGATATGTGTCATCCGCCTCATTCCCCGTTCCTTGTTTGGTTATAGGCTTAGGGCAGATACACATAATCAATTGTTTGTTTACTCTGAGTTTTATATAACTTGTATCCATTTAGTACTCATAGAAAGGATTGTAGAGTCATTTTTACTTATCTTTCATCAAAGCAGGAAATGTAGGATTTTCTGGAGGAACAGGCAAACTTTTCTAAAACAAAACTTACAATTTACTACAACTTACTAAGCTTTCTACAACTCACTTACGTCACTAAAATCTTATGAACTCACCAGCTTAATTGCTGATAAACTCTTTCAAATAAATTGTATTCTCAGGAAACTAGTAGACAGGTAGCCGCGCTGGGAATTCAGAAGATGGAGCAGTATAGCTTTTAGTCTTATTTTGTTATTTTTTATGTATTCTATGTTTTGTGAACACACACTTTGTAAACACTTTCTTTCTAATGAAATGGTTGTTTATATACTTTGATTACTATGATGCATGTCTTGTGATACTAAACATGACATCCTCCACCCCCGTACATTGTCGCCGTTTCGGTTTTGGGGTGTGACATCTTGGCTCCTTTCACTACTAGAAAAACAGCCTTTTACGACACTCATTGCATGTCGTAAAAGGCTCAGACGACGCGCAAATACGCGTCAAGGAAGGCCCTGTCATGAAGAGAGACGACGCATTTTTGCGCGTCGTCTATAGACGACGCACATTTACAACGCGCAATTATGACGCGCGTTTACGACACGCAATGCGTATCAAGGAAGGCCCTGTCATAAAGGAAGACGACATGCATTCGCGTGTCATAACCTTACGACGCTCGTGTTAATGACACGCAATGTGTATCAAGAAAGCCCCTGTCAAGAAAGGCCATGTCATAAATGAAGATGACGCACACTTTTGCGTATCATAATTTTAAATGTTTTAAAAAAAATAGTATTTATAGATTTACTTATTTTCAAATGAAATTTGTATTTAATGTTTCATAATAGAAAATAAAATATCATATACAAAAAATAGAATCCCTTGCATAAATTTAATGTCATACAATTCTATTTCTTACAATATATAAATTTGCATCTAATCTACTATATACATCAAATTCCAACTAACTAAAGTTGCATCTTTCCTTTCATAATTCTTTAAGACTAATGCTCCAAACAACTGATTATATGGATAAGCAGTTGTACATTGGCCCATCTCACTCAATAATGACTTAGCCAAATTCAACTCCAAGTCTTTACTGCATCTTGCTGATAATGCTGCAATATTTAAATCAAATTCAACTCCAAGTCTTTACTAATAATCAAAATCCCAAGAGCAACATCCATTGTAGAGGCAAGTTCATTTTCAAAACAAAACATACTATTTATAATGATAAGGATGTGGAGGGTATACTGTAAAAACTCAGATATGGCTATAATGGAGATAACAGGGATAGATATATATACCTTAAACAAATTAGCTTCCAGATCAGATTGAGAGCTGCAAAAAAAACTAATATATGTTAAGTTAGTATTTGGAGGATGTAATATGATGACATACACCTCCAGAAGGCTATTATGTATGAGCTTGACCAACACCAAGGGCATTATTGGTAGAAATAATGTTACTATTTGTAGGGTTGATAGGGATAATGTCTCCTCACTTTGTTCATGTACTGAAACTCCCTACTGAATATATTATGTTTTTCTATGCATATGGGAACATGGGGAGGCGTCCTATGGGGGTAGATTTGTCATTTGACATACCGGTGACTGAACTGGAAGTGAATACAAAGCATTTTCATGAAATTTTTTGTTCATATGAATTCCTTCTACATAGGGCAATTAAGCCAACTAACTTGACTAAGTTGTGACATGGTTTCTAATTGAAACTAGTTTCTAGATGATGAATGGAATATAAATTCAAGTAGGGTTTTGAAGTTTGAACAACAGATATGTTGTTACCTTAATGAGGCCAGGTGGACCAATGATAACAAGATCTTCAAGTGCTTCTACTTTGTCTAGTGATAAGGTGTTGTATAACATATCAACATCCTCAAACTCATCAAAATCCTCCTGCAGATGAAATGGTTTGTCGTGGTTTTAGATGCTTTGTGAAAAGTGAAAACAACAAGAATCTTTTATCATGAATTTGACAAGGTGGCATAGAGGAGAGAACCTCAAAGAAACTATTGAGAAAATGTGAAAGGGAAAAAAGTATATGATGACCTGATTTCGTTCCACATAGTCGTCAATGAAGCCCTTAACATCATTGACTTGTTCCTCCAGAAATAGGAGGCATACCAAGAAGGGTGCTGCTTCTTTGTTGTACTTGTTGGGATCTCTGCAAAAATTTCTCTCTTTGATCTGGTGCTATTTCAGTTCTTCCACGGAAGTGTCCCTATTAAAAAAAAAGTATTTTAGTTAATGTAGATACAATGTATATTATAGCGATATATATAGCATACCCCTTCGTGTTGAGTTTGGAAGGAAATACCAGGTCTCCACTGAATGCCAGGAACACCAGAAGGTGAAAAGACTCTTGTGCCCATGCCACCACCCTCACCACCATTTCCATTATCACCATTAGTACTTTTGACACCACTTTGTGGCAACATCATTCTGCTACTCAAAGATGAAACAGGAGGATGTTGCTGAACCATTCTCTCATCTGTCCCTAACATAGGCCTCTTAGCCATTTCAGAAGCTTGACCAACACCAAGGGCATTATTGGTAGAAATAATGTTACTATTCGTAGGGTTGATATGGACAGTAACTGAAGATTGACTTGTCAAACTGGTCAAACTACCCTTCCCGAGATTCCTTAATCCAAATTCACTAAGGGCAGGAGATGATTTACGAACAGGGAATCCTCCGACTTCTTCTTCCTTGTTTATAGGTGAGGAAGGGATGGTGGAGACTGAGACTGAGACTGAATTATCTAAAACACCCCTCACCGGACTTGGACTTGGAGGGACTGAAAAATGAAACAAAGTAAATGAATATCTCACCATTTTCCCATAGTATAAATAACTAATTCTAGGGCTAAACACAACAAAGTACAGGGATTTAATAGAAAGAGATGAAATAGGATGTTATAATACACGTGTAAAAGAAATTATGTTGTTGTTTCTTGCATTTAACAATAAATAACAAGTGTAGTAAAAAGTAAAAAGTAACCATGTGTAGCTCCAGGGGCAGGACTGCCAGTAGCTTTGATATTTTTTATTATTATAATCAATACATTATATTTATTTAAAAATTAGATTTTTTTTTGGATTTGGTAATTTAGATTAATTTCATTATCATATGTAAATATATTAACATATACTATTTAACACACATTTACTAAACTTTAAGTAAATACACAATGTATCAAAATTTCACAACAATTAAACAATTCTAAAACAAAAAGAAAGAACTTTATATGGTCCAAGTCACAGAAAGGAAAAAACATAAAAACCTGGGTAGCCAAGTATATATTGTTCAAATGAGAAGGATGTGCTTGAACAATGGTTCGATATGCACTCTTTCTACCCTCCACAGTCTGAAGCAAGAAACATTAATTAAACCACTTTATAAGTAGAATGTCACCAATATAGTTGACCAAGAAACATATAAAGATGAAATTGTGATGGTAAATACCCCAAAATCAAATAAGAAATTTGACCGGTCAACCATAAACAATTTCAGAGTACTTCTTCTTAGGAGATATCTGTCATAGCAGTATAACTGTGAGGTGAGTAACAACCAAAGAAGGAAGCATAAAAAAGATCTAGAAACACAAATGAATAAGCTTCTGCTACATTCAATATAAAAAAATACAACAGTTGATGATATTGATGCAATAAAATCCAAAACTAAAATATCTACAAAGAATCTAGTAATTATTTAAATTTATATCTCAAAGTCAAAAAATCACCTTCGACCGTAGATAACCCCAAAGGTAAGCCCAATCCGACTTGTTTCTTCTTCCAAAGAGTTCAAGGCATTCGGTCCTGCAGCTTCCTTGATGCAAACTGCTTGCAAAGCATCAATAACATACCTATAATTATAAATTTACTACTAGTTTAATCACACCACACAAACATAGATAAATAAATAAATAGATAAATTGTTCTTGTTCCGTATCAAATAGTAGAGTAAATTACACGAATGGTCCCTATGGTTTAGGGTAATTTGCAAGTTTGGCCCCTAACTTATTTTTTTAACTCGGAATGTCCCTATTGTTTGTTTTTGTTACACGCTTGGTCCCTGTCTTACCTAAAAAGACTATTTTTCCCATGATTTTTTAATTTATTTAAATAAACACACTCTCAACCCACTCCCCTCACCTTACCCTACCTATCCCATCATTTTTCCATATTCAAATAATAGTCTTTTTAGGTAAGACAGGGACCAAGCGCGTAACAAGAACAAATAGAAGGGACTAAACGCGTAACAAAAACAAACAGTAGGGACCTTCCGAGTTAAAATATTAAATTAGGGACCAAACGTGCAAATTACCCCAAACCATAGGGACCATTCGTGTAATTTACTCCAAATAGTAACAGTAGAAGTTGACCTTAGAAATTCCCATGCCCAAGATTGCTTCCGATGTTTTCAATATGGGTAAGTATGCGAATAGGAAACAACGGAGAGTGAGAGTTCCCATATTTTGCCCTCATAACAAGGCCTTCAACCTCACATGTGAAGCACCATCCTCTCTTATCACCCAACATACACTTTTTTTAATAATAGTTTACTCAACTCAAAGAAGCAACTTGTTAATGCATATGATAACATACATGCTTTGGAATTAAGTAGTTGTTATGTCAGCTGAAATTTGAGATCCAGTAAAACACTCCACACTTTGTTTAAGGATTCCATAGTCCATATATGGAACTAAGTAGTTGTTATTGATGGGTTTTGTACATAAGAACATTCCTAAGAACAACACAAAATCAGATCTAGAAACATACCTTTGATTCTCTTGTTTGATCTTGTTGTCTTGGAGCTCTAGAGTCGCAATTGTCACTCCTCTAATGGCTTACAAACACCAAATAGCAAGGAGGATGATTTGGGAGAGAGTAGAGGGGAGGAATTTGGCTAAAGTCTCTCTACTTTAGATGGGGTGTCGAATTCCCTCAGCCATAGGGTCTATTTATACTTGTAGACTCCTTAAGGGTTACAGCTTAAACCCTAATTGGATAACTTAGACTTTAAGTTAATCCATATCCTTTCCTTGATAACCCTATGGACGATTTTGGCTTATCCTAGCCTTAGAAATCGTCCAATCCTTTATCAATAAGGATTTACAATCTAAAGTTTAACTATCAAGCAATTGATAGTTTATACCCTCTTGTTTAATTAATCTCTTTAAGTCACCAAATTAATTCTAATTAATTCTATGACTTATATTAATATATTATTCTTTATATTATTCTCATAATATACTAATAATATTTACTCTCTCTTAATAAATCATCCTATCAAGTTGCTATGGTGAAGGCAACTAAAAGGACCATGCACAATCGGGTCAAATACTTGCCTAATATAGTTGCAGCCTTAGACACTATTCCAACAGTATCCCACTTGGATAAGTCTAGTAACTAAGTTTAAGTCTAGAAATCCTACAAATTCCTAATTCGCTTAAACTAATGCTCTGATACCAACTGTGACATCCCCTAATTTCTGGTTCAGAAAAGACCGATTTAATTTATGCTTTTTAAAATAAAATCAGAGAAATCTTTTTAAAAGATGTTGCGGAATTGGTCCCCAAAACAAAACATGATAAAAGTTTATCAAAATCTTTCCTTAAGAAATGTATAGTTTCATTTCATATCAAAAACTCGGGATGTCATGTTCCGATACATATCAAAAGCATAAACAAGACATTATAAGCCTTTCAACAGTTATTTACAACTGCTGGCCTATAATCAAAAATCTCTCCTCGTCCTCCAACTATGCTCAGGGTCCACTACTCGTAATCATAAAAACTGAGTGGGTCAGGCTTAGGATCCTGGTAAGCATATAGGGTTTTCAATCCACATTAATAATATATTTATTAAGTTCACCAATCAACAATAACCCTGATTACCCATTCCCGTTGTCCTCACTTTATGTCCCTAAACACCTATCACAAGGGACCTAGCCTAAGGAATATTATCGGGATGGACACTACTGCTAAGGGGTTTCCTCATCCATGCATGTCCTAAAGTCAACCATGAGGGGGATGGAGTACACCAATGAACATTTAGTTCATTAACACCTACAAGTTGCGAACCAGCTAGTGTTCCACTGGACTATCTAGAAGGGTCCGTGGTCGTCATCTATACTTCGCTAGATGACTACAATAAAAACAACAACAACAACAACAACATCGAAGTCTCTCACCATTTTAACACACATCAACTATTTCATCTACCCATGTTCTACCAAACATATTTTGTAGATAAAAAGCATATACAGTTTAAAACTTGTATAAAACATCTATTCAACAATCACCTCAAATAAACACTTAATATAATTACACATAGCACGTATTTTATAGAAAATATTCCATATCTAGGTGTAAGATGAAAGTGACTACACACTCACATGATTTGATGATAATCGGGCAGCAATTCGTTGCTTAAAACGATCGTTTCTAATAAAATCGGGAGTTTTATTGAGAAACCAGGCTCTGCAAAGGGCGGACTTCGAAACCGAAAAGATAATTTTTTTCCGGTCTTCTCGGGCACTTTGTGGAGTATTCCGGGGCTTATAATCGATACCGGAGCTTTGGGGGAAGTCAAAATGATAAAAATGATGAAAATTGGGTGAAAAGTGGCAAATTTCGGATTCTACCCGGGAAGTCTCGCAGCTACTACTATATATAGTAGAGAGGCTTGGATCCGAACCGAGGAAGGAAAGGCATGCATCTGCGAGGCTCGGACCAGGTGGCAGTAGGGCGAGGGTCGGATTGGTCAGCTGCGAGCTTCGGATTGGTCAGCAGCCACGGTCCAATCAGGAGGCTACACGTACGCGAAGGGGTGTTCGAGGAGCATCCGCGGGGTGTCTCCAGCGAGGCTGTTCGAATGCGAGTGGACCGCGGACTTGGTCCAATCAGAAGACTACACGCGAAGCTCGGTCCTATCAGGAGGTGCCATGTGGAGGCCTCGCATGCGAGGGATGACGTGACTGAGGTGACTCGGCGAAATTTCCCGGTTTTCCACATTTTCTTGATTTTTGTGCCAAAAACTTGCGAAAATCATAACTTTCGCATACGAGATCCGTTTTTGAAGTTCTTTATATGAAAGCGTAGGTAAAATCATACTATATGACTTTCATTTAGACTTCGTCGGCTAATTTTGACTTTAATTTTTATATTATTATTTTTAACAAACCGGGACAAAAAATCCGTTAAAAATTCATAACTTTTTCATCCGACGTCCGTTTTCGTCAGACTTTTTACCGTTGTCCTACTAATGATGAGACCTTCGATTCTCGTTTCGGTTGTGTCGGCTAAAAGTTACTCGATCTAAAATTCGAGTTTTTAGCTGTCTACTGTTAAGCTGAAACTTCAAAAAATCATAACTTGCTCATACGAAGTCAGATTTGGGAGTTTTTTTATAGTACTTCTCGGTTTATCGAATACTACAACTTTCATATAGATCACTAAGTCTAAAAAGTAGTTTATCAAAAACTCACTTTTTACGACATTCAGCACCGTGCCGGTTTTGTCGTGAAACTTTGACAGGTCATAACTTCTTCGTTATAACTCGGATTTTGGTATTCTTTATATCCCCGAAATCCTTGTTTCGACCACTACAACTTTATGTAAAGATATCGGCTTTATCTAATATTTATTTTTGATGCTCATTTTTATTATTAATTAATTAAACCCTAATAATTAATCATAAAACACATAATTCACATAATATTCACATAATTCCTTTTCATTTCTTCAAAATGAGTTACAAAGGTTAACCTAAACTATCACCTTAATATAAATGTCTAGGCTAGAAACACGAGTGTTACAGCTAGCATGAGC